AAAATAAAATTGTAATTAATAAAAAATATTAATAAATTATTTATTTTAAATATTTTTAGAATCAAGAATTCAAAGTTCTAATAACATAATTGAATTGCATAAAATTATTGAAATATATTGATGTAAGGTAATAATTCATTAGAAATATTTTCTAGTTTTATAATTATATTGATATATTAACTCAGATAACTGACATACTTATAAAGCAATAATGATAATTAATTTTAGAATAATATATAAGTGAAGAATTTTTTGTTTTATGGTCTTGTTAATTGTTATTATTAAACTATGAACAAAAAAAAAAAAATCAGTTCATCTTTTAACCTTTCTTCTTTACAATAACCAAAATGATCATTAACTGAACAAGATACAATGAATAATAAAAAAATATCAACAAATTCACCTTGAACTTCATTGCAATCGAAATCATCTGCTTCAACTACACCATTAACTAATTCTTCTCAAGTTTTATTGTAATCAAAATCACCTATTTTAAATACCTTAACTATGCTATTACAATTATTTATATCAGCAAAAGCAATTATATCATCTCAAACAGCACAATTAACTGCATCAACACAATTGACAAATTTAAACAACTCATTGCAGTTCATTTCTTTAACTAAAAAAAGAAAAGCTGATGCAGCAACTTCTAACCTTTTCACAACTACTACTAGAAATAAGTTTAGCAAACAATCATCATAAGTTTTGTAAATTTTATTTTATTTTATTTTATTTTTTTTTTAAAAAAAATACTTAAAAATATGATGATTCATTTATAATTTAGCCCCAAGTCATTGTTGATTCTTCTCTTTTCGCTGTTTTTCATGATAAAAATCCAGGTTAATATGTTTATGTCATTAATATGTATTTTATCTTTTAATATATTGACTAATAATGTATTATTTATTAGTGCTACCGCCTATTGATTTACGAACTCTGTCAAAGATTTTAAGCATTGGACAAAAGAGCTTCACCCAAATTGAACATATTACTAGAAGACAAGCTAAACTTGAATATCTTATCACTGAACAATGAAAACAGCTTGAACAGGTTCTTGAAAAGTTGGATGATACTGAAGAAATGCATAATTCTGCTATAGACAAAAGAAAAAGGAAAAGAAAATAGAAGAAAATAGTGAATGATTTGTTTCAAGTAGTTGCTCTTTAACTTATTAATTAGATTTAATTTTTGTATTATTCATCTATGTAGTTATTACATGTACTGTAGGAAGCAGTTAGAAAACTTTTATATAAAATATTTCATGACCATAAGCAAATAAGCAATGCTAAAAAAAAAAATGTGACTCAAAAATAAGTTAAAAAACAATAAAGATTGTGCAGAACACTTGCACCTTTTAGAAGAAAAAGAGTTTTCATTAGAAAGATTGTGGTATGAAAAATTATATTCAGATGTCAGTATTTTTTAATAATATTACATGTAACATATATATATAATTTTTAATAATGTTACATGTAATATATATATATTAATTTTGTTTATTTTTTTTATTATTTTTTTTTTTTTTTTTATATTACCTCTTTTGTCCGAGCTTTTTTTTTATACTTATTGCGGGTACATGTTTT